AAAGGAGGGATGGAGAAATGGTCAGCAGTGGTGAATCTTCAGCAAGTCTGAGGACTTGGAGGACGGAGACAAAGTAATCAGTTGCTAATGAAGTGTAAGGGAAAGTAAACTACTGTTCTCTCCCTGTAGCTGTCAGTGCCTGCGGGGGAGGCACAGGGCCACGAGCTTACAAATTCTGAAGGTTGTACCGGCTGGCTCTGCAGCAAGGATTGTGTATAGTCTCCTTTTCTTCCAGCCAGTGCCAAAAGGAGAAGGTGGTGCTAGTTCCTGCCATTTATTCAGGACCTACTGAACATTAGGCACTGTGCTCATAATCCTGAATAACCCTGCAGTTGTTATTTCTGCTTTACAGGTACTATCACTCCAAGAGGTTTAGTCATTTGCTTGTGGTTCTAAAGCCACTAAGTGACGTAGTTGGAAAGAAAGCCCAAGTTGGCCTGACTCTGAAGGCACTCAAAAATGGAAGTCATTTCCATTACACACTGTGATACCTTGTCTTTGGTGCTCCAACTTCCTGGTCCAACCTCGGTCCACTTGCAGGAGTTAAGTGCCCTTCTAAACTTGGTCCTGCCAAAACAAGCTCTAAGAAATATCTGCAGTTGACAGAGTGTGGCATTTTGGAAAGAGTATTTGGTTTGCAGTCCAAAGACCTGGGTGAATCAAACCTTGCCTGTGTAATTTCCTATCTGTGTGACTTTAGGCAAGTCGTTTACTGCAAAAGTTATTTATTCTTTGGGCCTCATTTTCCTAAGCTGCAAAATATATATGAAAGTGGTTTTAAACTGGCAAGTACGATGCAAGTATAAGATGTTGTGAACTTAATATGAATTTAAGTCAATGTGTTGCGTTCTGTAGAGTTCTTTACATTTTGAGAATTTTAATTGTAATTATTCTACGTAATTTATTGAGCATTGACTGTGTGCAAGGGTTTTTTCTGGAGAATTATAGGTGTGCAAGACCTAGAGAAACTTCACGTAATTCAGGAGAAAATGTTTTGTTTCTTGGAAAAAGGGATTTCCAACAGTAAGATCCAGAAAGAATAGATTTTGCCAGTAGGGCAGAAAGACCGTTCTCTGCATATCTAAAATAATAAGATGAAGGAAATAATTTTCTTTTTAGGGATGAAGAGAATTGCTGCTATGAAACAAAGTATCAACAGTCTTGGACACATAGCCCTGCCATTCAGAAGCTTTGATTCACTGTTTCCGTTTCCATCTGTAGTATTAGTACATTTAGCAAAGGGGAGGGTTGTGTTTAGCCTCATAGTCTTTGTCTGAGTCACAGCCTAACTTTGGTCAATGGACTGATTCCTATTTTTTAGATAGGGAAGAAAATATTCTTTATGCCAAAAAGGGAGTATATTATCAGAAATAAGGGAAGACTTGGGCCGGCCCCGTGGCTTAGCGGTTAAGTGCGCACGCTCCGCTGCTGGCGGCCGGGGTTCGGATCCCGGACGCGCACCGACGCATCGTTTCTCCCGCCATGCTGAGGCCGCATCCCACATACAGCAACTAGAGGGATGTGCAGCTATGACATACAACTATCTACTGGGGCTTTGGGGGAAAAAAGTAAATAAATAAAATTATAAAAAAAAAAAAGAAATAAGGGAAGACTATAAAGTGCCATGAGCTTTGGGAATGGAATTTGCTATGAAGTGGTGTTCTTGAGCCTTCTACATTATTGTGGTAATTCAGTCACCAGCATCATTCCTTAGAGGACTGAAAGGGAAGCTCAATTATTTAAAAAATAATAAAATAAATAACAAATAAATAAAGCAACTAACAGGAAATACTAGCCTGAATATCAAAAGCACAAATTTGAAAAATGTCGAATTAGATTAAGCCATCAACCATCTTGATCTCTGCCTTTATGGTTGTACCTCTGGGTTTTATACACAATTTGCAGTTTCCACCTTTGTGAAGAGCAGAAAGCTTAGCAACTTAAAAGGATCCACATTAGAGTACTCCCACGATTCTGCACATCCCATTGTTCCCAGAAGTGTGACTACCGAGGGGCTCCGTGTCACCGCGCAGGCGCCAGTCCTGTGGGTATAGATTAGCCAACGGGAAATTCGGTAGAGTCCTCCAAGAGAAATAATATTAATAGAAATTGCTTTGTCTGTTTTCTAATGAGCTTTTAAAAAGGAATGTGCACTTTGGAGTTTTTTGTTAGCTGAATAATTGTGCCAAAGTTCCCTACACATTCATTGCAATGCAATATCAAGAGCAGTAAAAATGTGTTAGGTTTTTCCCACCAGCTCATTTGAATTGCTCTTTGTTGTACCTTCCTACAGCTGAAGGGTGTTTTTGTCCCAGTGGTGGGTGGTAAATGAGTGGGATCGAACAACTTGGGAATGGGACTAGGGGTAAAACTAGCCAGAGCCCTTGAATCTTGGGTCAGAACCCAGCAATGCTAGGCAAGAAGGCTCAGTTCCCAGGAGCTTTGCGATCCAAAACATCTGTTTCTATATTTGGCATAATTCCACTTTTTTATTTGTAAAATTGTTCCCATCTTTGAAAACACTTTAAAAAATAAAGTACCCATTCTGTCTCCTCTTTCGACTCCCCAACACATGCATTTGTAATTACCTGGTTTAGTCTGCGTGTTTAATCAGCTTAAATTGAGAAAGTTGCCTACATCTGATTTCAATCTGAAGGAGCCATTGAGTACTGGGCAGTTACCACTCTTCTGTCTGCCAGAATGTGCGTCTGCCAGAAAAAGGATAGAACTCACACCAGGGAATTTCCTAAAGAAGCCACTTGACTCAGATTAGATGTTCAATTTCTTTAAAATATTGTTTTGGATCTAGGTCTCTGTTCTCTAATTAGGATTTTCTGATGTAATTTAGGAATTTTGCTTATTTGCTGAGTTTGTTCCAGGATCCAGCTGGCATTATTCTAAATGCCTAAATCTCAAGGAAGTAAACTTCACAAGTGCCCAGTGTCATACGTCACTCCTCTGAAGGATGGGCCAGGCCCACATTTGTTCACTTCTCTTTGGAACCATTATGCATGCAATGAGATTGAATTAATTTTGAGAGAGAAGGGCTTCTAGTTATGGTAATGAAGCCTCTAATCAAAGGTACACATCTTTTGAGATATTTTCCTGGTTAAATTAAATTCACATAGAAAAAAATTACTTTGTTCTAGTACTATTAATTTTAATTCCATTTTTATTTATGACATTAGCATATAAACCAAGTTTTTAGATTTCCTCAGCTATGTTCACTTAAAACACTTCCCATTGACCAGAGTTTGAGATCTTAAGGTATTTTTTTTTTTCCCCTCTTCATTGGGCCAGAATTTCTGAATGGTAAAAAAATCAAAGGGTAGAGCTGAGCTCTTTCTAAAAGTTTTAAACTAGAGTTCTTGAGTTTACAGGCTTCTAACCCTCGAAAGACTCTAGGAGCCCCTTTATTTATTAGCAAAATTAGGATGACTGCCAAAAATTCCATTGCGTATTTTGCACAGTGGTAAAGCCATGCATACCAGGATGATGGGCTGACATCCCACTGGGGTATTTTCAGTCAGCTCATGAGCCCGCTAAGCTACATACACACCAGTGTGCTGAAAACAAAACAAATGCAGGGAACATAGTAGGGAGATTGTTAATTTCCACATACATCAAGGCTTTAAAAAATGTATTTTAATTGTCACACAGCCAGATACCATCAGCTGGTTGGGGTTACCAGATTATAGTTAGAAGTTTGTTTTGCAAGAAAATAATCAAAGCTGAAGAAGATAAAGAATACAAACATTAATGGCACAAAGCTAAGGTCACTTGATAACCGTATTTCGAAATGAGGATGATCTTGCCAAAAGAACCACAAACATTCGAAGTTGGCTTCCTGAGGTTCCGCCTCCTCCTGGAAGGGTCCCTGACGGCACTATCATCCTTGGTATCCTCCCCATCCCCTCCTCCTTCCCTAGGATCTACCCCACACGGGTGCTCCTCTGTCTCTAGTATATCTGTACTCTGATTCATGAAGCATTTATCTCACAGTTTAAATCTCAGAGGCAACCTCATTTGGGCTTTTCTCACCTCTTGGAAAGCATCACCAGAGGTTGGCAGCGGGCTTGCTAGGGTCTGAGTTTTTAGTTTCCTCTATTTCTCTGACTACCCAGAGTTGCTGAGATGCAAATGAGCTGCAGAGGAACTCCATCAGCTGGAAAGCATTGTATGCAAAGAGAATTATTATTTACCCAGTTTTAGTATTTCTAGTTTTTCAAAGCCAAATTGGTCATAGTCTGATTCACTCATTTCACGAATATTTATTGAGCACCTACTGTATATCAGGTGCTGTTCTGGGTGCTTAGAACAGCCTAGAACAGAAAAAACAAAGCAAGGATCCTGCCCTCCAGGGAGGTAAAGGGCGAGTCTTGAGATTGTCCTAACATTTGGTTGTCAGGTACACTGAATAACTAACCGATTGCAGGGGAAGAACTAACCCATGGAGAGGTTCAAGTGCCGGCCGCACTCTCTCCAGTCTGTGATGGGGCAGGGAATAGAATCCTCTATTCACTCCAGTATATTTCTTTGACTCTAATATAGGGTTCTTGTAGTTCCTTTGTGATTCCTGTTAGTATCTACAAGGAAGAAGCTTCTACCAGGAGTGATGTATTTGTGTCTGACATGGTGGTACTGGCATTAGAAGGGAAAAAAATTTAGATATGCAGTTGTTAGTATGGATGAACAGAGAATTTAGATGTGAAAACAGCTAAACCTAAAAGGAAGGGGTCTCACAGTAAAAAGGGAAAGGAGCTTCAACCAGTTTGTTAGATGTCATAATAGTTGTTGGCAGAAATGTTTGGGCAGTCATCACACCAAAACCATCTTCTGTGTGTTTACTGGGTGCACACATACACTTGTACCTGGATTTTTCATTCTCGCTGTATAGTTCTTGAAAATAAGAGGGCAGTGTTACCCAGTGTATTTCATCATGCTTGTGCCTAGACAATGTATTCATTTGGGATTTTGCTTTCTTCTGCCTTATCCTTTAGAGTTGCTGGAATTGTGGCCGTAAAGCGAGTGAAACCTGCAGTGGCTGTAACACAGCCCGATACTGTGGCTCATTTTGCCAGCACAAAGACTGGGAGAAGCACCACCACATCTGTGGACAGACCCTGCAGGCCCAGCAGCAGGGAGACACGCCTGCTGTCAGCTCCTCCGTCACGCCCAACAGCGGGGCTGGGAGCCCGATGGACACACCACCAGCAGCCACCCCGAGGTCGACCACCCCAGGGACCCCTTCCACCATAGAGACAACCCCTCGCTAGATGTGGACTCAGAACTGTCGGAGGAAAGACGACACAACCAACATGAAACCAATTCCTCATCCTCAGATGCTCAAAGTTGTTTTTTTGTTTGTTTGTTTATAGATAAACTATCTTATTTCAGTACTTCAGCAAGAGAGAACCTGACTGTATCTTGAGGCGGTAGTAAAACAGAGGGCCAGTAACGGGTCATAATGACTTATTGTGGATAACAAAGATATCTTTTCCTTAGAGAACTGAAAAGAGAGCAGAGAATATAACATGGAAAGATAGATTTGACCTCTTCCCTGTTATTTTCCAGTAGCTGGGATTTTAAACTAGATGACCTCATTAACCGATGCTTTACCAAACAGCAAACCAAGAGATTGCTAATTGCTGTTGAAAGCAAAAATGCTAACGTTAAAAGTCACAATGTTCTTTATATACAATAATGGAAAAAAAGAGGAAAACTCTCAAGGGCATGAGCATTGGCTACAGCGGTAGACATTTTAACGAGAAGATGAATGGCGTCCGTGGGTTGCTAACTGAACTTTGAAGACCCGCTACAAAACGCGCAGATGTGTAGCATATTGGAAGGAGACACAGATGTTTTGTTCTTTCCTGTTTCTGAAAAGAAATAATAATATCCAGGTCAACAGAAGGAAAAATGAAAGATGATTTGCAGTGGGATGTATGAATACAGCAGCAAGAAAAAAAAAATGCCATAATATAAAAGGCTCCTTTTTATATATATATACACACACACACACAGAAGTGAGACTCAGCCTGCAGTTAATTAGCATTCTGGCAGCTTTGACTTCAGCCGGCTGCCCTCAATACCCCTTCAACGTTTCCTCACTTTTGCAAGGTTCCACAGAGTAAGACATTGGGTCTATTCCAGCTCATTCATTTTATATTGAAAAATAATTTTAAAAAAACGGTGGCTCCAGCTCCAGCCCCTTTCCAAATTTTTTCAACCCCACCCTGTTTGAATTTTTAATTAAAAACTAGTAGTTCTCTTGGTGTTAAAACACTTCTGTCCTGTGAGGTTTCCCAATGGTGTTTTTCTTGTGTGTTGGACAAATGTGAAGATGCATTGTAGTTTAACCATATGCCCACATTAGTCTCTTTATTCCTAGTTGGTGAGAAACCTGTATCTTTCTATGCTGCTTTTATATCTGTATGTATTAGTGATAATATCTCTAGTAGTTCAGAAAAAAAAAAAAAAGAAAAAAAAAGACTCTTTTTTTGGTTGTCCTCAAGAAAAGAAAAGAAAAAAGGCTATCTTTCGGAGCTGCTATTTCACTCTCTTATAGGATTTTTTTTCCTGAAAACCAGCATGCTTCACGGAATGCTAACATATTGGTGTTTTTGTAAGAGGGATGTACATAAATGTATTTTGCACTGTCACAATGACTCCCTAGGCATGCTTTTTTTTTTCCTTTTTTTTTTTTTTTTTTTGAGCAAACTCTTTTTAAATATGCTAGAGCCATTTCACCAAGTTAGCTGTAGCATAGAGTAGTAGTGGAATTTTTCTTTCTTGCTTTCTTTTTTTTTGTTTAAATCATTATTAGGGACTTTTTAAAAAAAAAACAAGATATCCTACTTTAAAAAAAAAAGACAGTGCATGCATATTGCTGTAAGGTTGTTTAAGTATTTCTAATTTTACAAAAGAAAAAAAAAGATAAATCATTAGAGCTCCAAATGCTGAGGTGTAGACTGACAGCTTTAACACTGCTGAATGCCAGGTTATACAGTATTCTTACAAAAAGGGAAGTCAGCCAAAGACTGATCTGATGGACCAAAATCGGAATTTTGAAAAGCACCAGTACTACTTTCCAAATGATCAGCAGGTTAAACATGTTCAGCAAGGTATAGTGTGAATCCATTAACCCTTCGTTGTCCAGGGTCCAGACCAGAACTACTTGTTAGTTTTGAACACAGTAGCCCAGGATATGGTTGTGTGCTTTAGGGAAAGCCAGCAGTGCTGCAGGCTGTGTAGACAACCAAAGTTTTCGAGGCTGGGAAGACACTCGCCACATACATACACACATCAGGCATTTATTTCAAAATCTAAAATTGTCACTGCAGGCAGCGCTAACAAAATGATCCATTAGCTTTGACTTTTTTTTTTTAAATGTAGCCCTTGGTTACAGTTTTAAATGGCTTTTAAGTATCTGCCGGATCTTATGGAGGCAATCCTAAATCAGTTTGCTTTAAGTATCTTAAACCTAACGTTTTTAGCCTTTTTTTCCCCTGTCTTTTCATATACAAGTTGGTTTAAATTTTGTTTGGGTGGTGTTACTTTTTTTAAATGGCTTTTTAGTTCAGAAAGTTCTGATGAACAAATAAATACATCTCTCTGCATGTTGGAAGTCCATTTGCCAGCACACCTGCTTACAGTGAAGTAAAAGCACATAACCAGGCTCTGAATGGGTTATATTTTACCATGGTGCTCCCAGAATCCTTTGACCTCACTCTGCTTCTAGTCTGCTTGTGACACTGGACAGTCCTTTCTTACAGAGCTATTATATGTTCTAGGCTACGAAGGGTTAAATAATCCCAAAAATGAGGTATGTCATACCCACACGTCTTTCTCTCTAGAAGCTGTGATGTATGTGAAACAGCACTGTTATTCTTAACACTAGTGTGTAAAATATGGATTAGTACAGTACGTCTCATTACTTTTAATTCAGGGCACCCTGAGTGAAAACAAATACAAAAAAATCCCTAACTCTGAGCTCTATCTCTGATTCCTCTTCCTCCTTCCCCTCTTCCTCCTCTTCCTCCTCTTCCTCTCCTCCTGTTTTGCTACATTCTCCTCAGTGGCAAAAAGTTTCACTCTACCTCTGACAGCATGTATATTGCACCAGTAGCTAACAAAAACTGGTCTAGTCAAACCAAATGGGCACAAAAGAACCAGGATACCAAAAGTTAAGCTCATACAGCTGCAAACCATATCACTTCTTGGTAACAATGCAGACCTCATAAACCTAAAGAAGAGAAAGAAAAGAAAACTTTTGTTACTTTCCTTTTTTGCTTGTCACTTATATACAGGCTATGTGAGAGTATAATTTGTAGGTATAACACATTTTAAAAAAAGGTTATCTTCATTGGATAGAATTGAATGGTGGTCGCTGATAGGAATAGGGCGTCCTCTCTTATCTCTGTCTCGGACTCTTTTCTCTTTCTCTTTTTTCTGTCATGAGACTGTGTGTGACAGGGCCTCCTGTCTTTTTAATTTTTTCCTTAACTTTTTTTTTTTAATGTGTAGGTGCATGTCTTGGGGATTTAAAAATTTCAAGGCTGGTTTACTTATGCAAAGCATGCCTACGTCTGGAATACTTAGGGAAAGAAAGCGACTCCATGTTGTCCGAATTCCTCAAGGGACAGAAAATAATTGGAGACTGTTGAAATGCAGATTTGAAGTAATTTTTTTAAAATATTATTTTGGGTTCTGCGACATTGTGAAAAATTCAAGTTGTTGTGCAATACTTAATTCAGACATGTACCACAAGTTAATGGTAGACTAACACTGGGGGGTGGGGTCTAGGCGTCATGCTTTTGTCAGCATACTCTTGAGCTTTTGAGTCTACTATGTCTGAACTGTGGTTTCTTGTTTATCCTTTTTTCCTTAGTTGGACTGTAATGTATGGTCTGTCAACCTGTGAATCTTTAAAGTATGATTCAGGTATTGTTGTATTCTTTACTGTGTAATAAAAAAGTTTAAAAAAATCTGTATTCTCTGCCTCCCTTATCCTCAGTGTGTGCCACGGGTGTCCACCCAGCGGCCCTGGCCTGGGAGTCCATCTGAAGTGCTTCCCTAGAGTTGATTCAGTTGCAAAGCATGCCTCTGAACAGGAATTGGCTCATCCAAGATTGGTGAATAGGGAATGATGTCAGAACAGTGCAAAAGTCAAGTTAGTTTAGGGAAGATTATTACCCAAGCAAGAGGAGCCAGAAGAGGGGGAGGAGAATTACAACCTTCCAGAGGAAAGGAGAGCTTGGTTTGCTTAGTTTAGCTGCTGCATAGGCAGGGCAACAGAGGCCCTTTTGGCTCCATTTTGATAAAATGAGAAATGAGTGCCTACATCTGGGTCACTTTCACCAGAGAAGTTCATCCCAACCCTATGAGGCTCTGGCTCTTGGGTTGCTCAGCGCCCCCCGGCACACCTGAATGGCAGACCCACTGGTGCAGAGCTCTGCTTCCGTCTGCCTTGTCCACCGTCCTGTAACTACAAGTTGCCAGCATTTTCACTCTTGTTATTGTGGAGGAGACCACTGTGGTGGTCTCCAACTTTGCTGAGAGGTCCAAATTATCCTGTCTAACGTATTTTTTCATGATCTAGTTATAAAGTTGGTTAGAGTTTGAAGCCCTGATGCATCTCCCTCCATCCCGTGAACATTGTTAATTTTTATGTGTAATTTTCAGAACAGGACTTTTTTTTTAGTAATGTATGTACTGCGTTGTCGCAGAAATTCCTCTTCCCTCTGAATATTCTCAACTTTGTGGGCCAAAAAATAGTTGCAAAGAACAAGGATGATCAAGTATGTGCAAAAGGCTGTGTCTGGGGAGAGAGCATGGTGGCAGATGCTGGTTAAGTGGGCGAGTCGGTTGGGACCATCCATTCAGCTTCCTCCTTGTGTCAGCTGGGTCCCTGCCCCAAGGCCTGGCTTGTCTAACTTGTCTTCCTGGGAAATGTGGCTTTTCTCACGTTTCTAACCCCAGGAACTTGGTAGTATACACAAGGAAAAAAATACAAAAAAGTTTTTAAAAATAATGGATACCTCCTCACCCCCCCACAATTGTGATAGTTAGGGTTGGATACTTAATTCATTATAAGAGTTGGATACTCATTCATAATAATTCATTAGTTAATGATTTATTTTTGCAAAAGACAGACCAGCCTGACCTAAGTTGGCAATCTCTTAACATGTTCATGTGTTTTTTTTCTCTTCAAAATGGAACAGGCCAGAAACTAGCAGACGAGAACAGAAATGGGACCCATTGAAGTAGTTCCCTTATAAGTGGTTCTTGAAAACACCTCTGTGACGTTTTTATGCAAGTGGATATGTTGGACAAGTGGGAAATGCTTTGTAGTTTATATGAAAGATATGAGCAAAATCCAGAGACTTCTAGATGGTGGACACCATTTTTTTTAAGAAGTGTTAATGATGTATTTGATAATATTCTAAAAGAATGTGTCTACCATGAAAGAACATACAGCTATTTCTCTGGAATGGGTGGGGAGGGAATGAGCAAAGGTGTGCTGTTCTGTATGGGTGTCTATACTCTAACTCCAAGGTGAATAAATAAAGTTGTGTTTGCTCAAAGCTGTCCCTGGTCAGTCTGTTCTCAGTCATACTGGGGGAAACTGAGTCAGACGAATACAGAAAATGTTTTTTCCCATCCCACCTCTCCATCCATATAAGCAGGGATGTAGAACCAAGGTAATTTGGAAATTTGCTCTTGGAGTTTTCAGGTTCAGATAACCTTTGTTGAAAACACTTCAAGATTATACATGAAGAGTCTGTGAAAACTCCTTAAGATCAAGACAATGCAATTGTCTATGGGGAGAAAACTTCTGATGGGTAAGAAGGAATATCTGCTTTTAGTTCTTAATGCTAATGTTCTTGTGTTGGAGTTCTTTCTTCTACTGTCAAGGAAGATCAGTTACACAGTAGGAATATGAGACAGTGGAGAGAAGGCGGCTGCCTGGACGCCATGGCAGTACCTGCATAAATCCTTGGCGGCTAGAGCCCTTCCACTGCCTAACGCAGGGCCAGGCACCCAGTTAGCACTCAGTAAAGACTCATTGGAAATGCAACTGTGAGTCTGCAGCTAGGATAATGTGGTGCCAGTTTTCCCTGAAATGAACAAATTGGCTGGAGGAACAGAAAGTGCAAGGGAAATGATTTAAGTGGCTGGAGGAGTGGTTTGAAGAGAGAAGATTAAACCATATGCAGCTGATCAGATGGTGATAGGAGGCAGCGTGACCACTTTACCAACATCAGAGGACATAAATGCCAAAGAGGTGAGGGAACCAACCCTTCAGTTTACAATGTGACCTGGTGACTAAGGTTATTGGCGATAAACAGTTAGTTGTTCCAGTTCTCTTAGTACATTCATGTAGGATGCCCCTGGCAAGGACGCCACCAGCAAGGATTAGAAGATCCCTTGGGATTTCAGACGTCTAACTGCTCAGTGAGAACTGGTGTAGTTGAGGCCTCGTGATTTTTCTTCTGACCACTTATGGCTCTTCTAGGTTCTGGTTCCCATCTCTGCTCCCTCTTCTCACCGCCCCATTTACTTTGGGTTCCTTTGCTCTCTTTAGTTCTCCCATCTCCTCTCCTGCATTTTCTCTACACACACAACAGAACTTTTTATATTTGAAACTATTTTCCTTCTTTTATCTCAGTATCTTCTTCATCAGACCATCCTGCCTTTTTTGTTGTTGTTTTTTTGTGTTTTTTTTTGTGAGGGAGAGCAGCTCTGAGCTAACATCTATTGCCAATCCTCCACCTTTTTTTTTTTTCCCCTTTTTCTCCCCAAAGCCCCAGTAGATAGTTGTACGTCATAGTTGCACATCCTTCTAGTTGCTGCATGTGGGACACCGCCTCAGCATGGCCAGAGAAGCGGTGCATCGGTGTGCGCCCAGGATCCGAACTGGGGCCGCCAGCAGTGGAGCGCGCGCACTTACCCGCCAAGCCACGGGGCCGGCCCCCATCCCGCCTTTCTTACTTGAAATCCCGTGAAGGCTCTTCATGAAGCTTATCCTACACTGAGAAGAAGAGGCCTGCTCACCTTGGTTCTCTCAGAACCAAAGTCTACTCACATGTCCCCCAGATGCCTGACAGCAACTTGCTGCCCCTGAGTTGCTCCAACAGTGCAGAGACATTTAAGATTCAGGAGACACAGTCTCGGCCAGAGCTATTCTGACCCAGAAAAAACTAACATAAGCAGTTGATATTATGATTGCAGATTCCGCCCAGCTTCCCACAAGCATCTCCATATAACCCACCCAGCCGCTTAAGAGGAATTGGTGATAACATAGACACTGAAAGTGAGAAAAAAGGAGGGAATGTTCCACATAAATGTTATATGACAGGAGCGGAAAATGGGCAAAAAGCGACTATGATACGAGTTGCTACACGGGGTCCAGCAAATTAGTCGCATATGCTTTCTTCAGTGTACGGTCATTTCTCAGATACTGGGTGGTTACACCATCTCTCAGGATTCTTGCCTCCGTTTCCCTCTGCGGTTTTGAGTCTTGCCGTTTGGAGGGCTCCTGGCACATCACCATTCGGTGGGGCAGGGGCTTCTGGACTCGGACAGGAAAGAGGTTTCTCTTTCTTTAAAAACTAACAAAACAAATGAACAACAACAACCAAATAAACCTCCAAGAACAAGCACCTCAGGCTTAGGGAAAGTTTGATGTCAGTTAGAGCCTCTCAAACGCTGTTTTCCTTAGTTGCTTCAAAGTAATCGGGGCTGTCTACTAAAAATAGATTTCTGGCCCCCCCTGCTGACCTACAGAATCAGAATCTCTAGAGAGACATTCATAAATAAGACAAATCTCTGTCTTCCTGGGGCTTATATTCTGATGGGAGAGAAAGATAAACAAGTTATTAGACAAATATTTAGTTACTGATAAGTGCTAAAGAAAACATGAAGGAGCATAGGATAAGCAGTGATGGACTTGAGGGTGGTGCTATATGAATTTGGATGGCCCAGGAAGGCCACTCCACGGAAGTGACATATAAGAAGAAACCTGGATGGGGAGTGAGCCACATGAACATCTGGAGGGAGTGCAGGCCAGGCAGGCGGAGAGAGAAGTGTGAGGGCTTCGAAATGAGGACAAGCTGGAGCGCTTGAGGAACATGCATACGAGGACGGCAGGGCTGAGGTCAGGTTAAGCAGGA